TCGTAGCGTAGTCGATCAAGAAGAGACTGGTCCAACAGCCTAAGCCGCTGGATAGCCCTCACCTGATCTGACAGTCGTTGTGTCGAAACATTCACGGTCGGGCACAATGTCTGAAACACAGAGAACATTTTTGAGCGATACGCAGAAAGGTTGGTTTCTCCCTCCGTAGCCTCATAGTACGCTCGCATGACATTCATATTTATATTTTCGTTCCAACGCATGCGAGAGCGCACTACACCACTGGTAGCGGGGACCGTAGACGGGGCATTTCGCCTCGTTGATCCCAAGCGTGCCAATGGTGGGCGGCCCCGGCGCACAGGTCTTGGCGGCGCAGGGGACGGCTGTGTTTCGTCGCTGGATAAATTTTCAATTCTCGTCGGACTTGGAGAGCCATCCGACGAACACGACGGAATACATGGTGATGTTCTTCGTGCGCCACAGGTCACCTGTCTACACTGTCGACTTGGATTTTTCCTTAATGCAGTTGTCGTCGACATGGACGTGTCACATTGCAGTTTTCTTTAAATTCTTTATTTTCGTTTTTGCATCCAACTTTACACTTTCTCTTTTTATTTTTATCATTTTTAAAATTTAATTATTTGTATTTTTTCTATAAATATTTGTAAAAATTTAGGTAAAATTAAATATTATAAATAATTATATATAAATATTATAATAAAATTAAATAATATAAATACAATAATAATAATAATAATAATAAATTATTATTATTATTATTGTATTCCATTTTCGAGCCGATGAATTGCCAATGCTATGTACGCCATTATTGTCACATGCATCAGGCCATAAATTAAATAGTTTAAATTTATTTTCAATGTTAGATGCTTGTGATGTGGCAGTACTTATTTAAATAAATAAATAAATAAATAAACTAACCCCTGTATATAAATTGTGTGCATCTTATTTGTTTTAGGTAAATCAACAGAGATCCTGTCACCAAACATTCTTAGCTACTCACATAGATTATACCATAGATTATACACTTAATATATTCGAGAGCTACTCACTTAATTCTTAGTGACTATCTGTGACCTTGCTCGTTCACGAAGCCTGCTATAAAAGCAGAGTATTATATACACTTGACATTGGCGAAATCTAAAAGGAAACGCCATAAACCTAAGAGATAGATAGATAGAAGTATGAGACCTACTTTTAAGACAGCGCAGCATTGCCGTGGTCACAGATAACACAATAAGCACAGCTGTCATAGATATACCTCTGTCAATAGACAGATAGAAAACTATTTAATATCCATAAAAATAATCACAAGTAGACCTCACGCTATTGACTGGGACAGCCGTTGCCTGGCTAGCCGATCGAATGTTTTTTTTTAATTGCATTGTTGGGTGGAAGAGCTCAATGCCTACTTGCTGTTAAGTGGTTAACTGACACTAAAGCCGAATTTACATTACGAAATTAGTGGCGTGAAATTAATTTCGTGACATTAGTTTTACCAACAGTTTCACGTGTAATTTAATACTTTCGTAATGCATGCATTAATTTCATGCATGCAAATTAGTTTCGTGCCCTGCACGATTTTTTGGTGAAATTAGTGTCATGCAACTAATTTCATAGTGTAGACGCGACGTAAAACTAATTTCGCGAAAGGGCCTGCGCTATGCGGACGTGTGTATTGTTAGTTCGGACGCGCTTCAAGCGTTGAAAATGGCAAACCAACGATGGAGTACAGAAAAATATATAGATCTTATTAATGAATATCAATGACAAGAGTCCCGAAACACCTACAGTAAAAAATCAAAATTATCTTCACTCATTCGAAAATAGTTTTTATAACTCTCAAGATCTTCATCTGCTAATTCAGAGACTAACTTCAATGCACCTAAATGCCTTCTTGTTGACCATCCTCGAATCTACCAACTTTTTTTTTTCTTGATAGTCTTTTTTTAAGTTTATAGGTATATAAGCATTTCTTTAGCTACATTGAATATAGCAAATTATAGCTTTGATGCTGACGGCGCCATGGTTACTGCGATACTGTGGATTTCGCGACACTAATTTTTTAACAAAATTACTTTCGCATATATCGAAACTACTTTCGTGAAACTGAGTTCAACATGCATGACACTAATTTCGTAATGAAAACTCCGCATAAGTCATTAACAACGTAAACACCGCCACCCACCTTGAGACAAGAGTTCTAAGGTCTCCGTTTTTACCGTACAACAGCTGCCTTAGTACCCTTCAAACTGAAACGCATTACTGCTTCACGGCAGAATCAGGCAGAGAGGTGATGCTTACACGTACGGGCTCACAAGACGTCCTACCGCCAGTAATTACGCAAATTGCATACGCAACACAACCTGTATGCGGGATCAGTGTGCTTAGTGCGAGTTTTTAACGTTCTCGATAACGTAAAAGTCATTTCATATTTGTATGGAATGGGATCGTTTGCGTACGTTTGCCGCTAGGGGCGCTGTTCCAATTTCATACAAAATTGGCTTAACTTTTACGCTATCGAGAACATTAACTCGCACAGAACACGGTTGCATCGCTTGGTACGACTAGACCGGAAGTCTAATTCGTTTAGGCCACGACGAGTTCACGTCATTTTAACAACACCCACTGGAAGAAATGGGGTGGCGCTATCCCAGACCGACACTACCCGTACGCTTCTATATTTGTAACTGATGATTTAATGGATATAGCTGAATTATTGCTTCGAATCTCCGCGCTCGCAACTATCAATCGTCGTAATAAAAGTAATACAAGCCCACAACCCGATCAATTGTTCACAATTACTCTTTAGTGTTTTAACATACAGTGTTTTTTACATTACTCGCGAATGGCACAGATAATTAAAACTATTTTTTTACGGTTTTGATGTCGTGTTTACTATTTTCTTTTTCTTTTTTTTATGATTGAAAGAATACTGGTGGCCCGAAGGCCTTTCCAGTTTCACCAGGACAGGTGGGCGAGCAAACGCTCAGCCAGGAGGGGTGGGACTTGCTAACAGCTGCGCGAGCGCCTCCGAAGGAGACCTAACAATTCAAGAGCAATTGCTTCGCGAATGAATCGAAGTTTAGTGTTCACGGGCTGCTGACGGTCCGTGATTGAGACCACGAAAACTGTAAAATATTCGAAATGTTTTAAGTATACTTGATATCGTCGTCATCATCATCATCATCATCAGACCACAGTCGTCCACTGCTGGACATGGGCCCTCCCGAAGCCCTCCCTGTCCACCTCTTGCCATCGACATACTCGAAATGGTACGATTTAGACAGGCTAGAAACTTACACGATTATGTATACTCGCTTTATACATGCGTCAATTCTGCCTGTTAGTAGTACTGTGTTGTAAATTTATTTTCCGTCACTTTCTCTCTTCAATCGGTCCCTCATTGCTGAAGATCGTGACTCCGTCCGATTCCGTCAACTATCTTTCTCCATTAATCCCGTTTATCGACGTCGCCCAAAACACGTCATTACGGATCCTCCCGATCCAACAACGGTGCTTTTACTACAAGCACCGGTCACTGTCCTCGTCAAACCCGTCGCTTAAGACGAAGGGCTCGACGAGCGAATTAACCCATAGACACAGCCCACTGAATTTCTCGCCGGATCTTCTCAGTGGGTCGTGTTTTCGATCCGGTGGTAGATTCTGCGAAGCACTGCTCTTGCTAGTGTCAGTCAGTGTTAGCAATACTCCGGTTTGAACCCCGTGATCTCACCTACATGTCAGGGCGAAGCTGAAATAGCCTCTCAAGGCTATCAGCATAGGCAGGGGAAAAAAACCCGTTCTGTAACTTGGTAAATTTATTTTAATGATGCATAAATACGAAACTGCGCGTCCATAAGTATGCATGAATAATTATATTAAGGGAACCAAATCGCGCACTTAATAAATTAGTAAAATAACAACTGAATAGTCGCGTTGCGAGCCCATAAACCCTTTTTGCCTATTTCTGCCGCGGAAGAGTGTTCTGGTTTAAAATTATATCACCAATGTAGTTAGGACCCTTTTTGTCTACATTCTGACTATAGCATATATTATACACGCGATCAGCTTGGCGTTCGATTGTCAGCTAATGTAACTCCGGCCTTAAAATACAAACTGCCAAACTCTTTACACCCAGACTCGCGCAAAAAATAAAGGCCAACACGTTTTGTGAATTATGAAAGAATCGTCAGTCGATTATTTTCCTGTCACATTTTCGTATTAATTTTTTTTTGTTCAGTTGAAATGTATTAAAATCTTTTCAGTTTATTTCGTATTTTGATGTTTTCTTAGAACTATACTTTTTATACGATAATTTTGGGAGATACATTTTACCGATAAATCATGCCTGAGTGAGTACAATATCTATTCTGTTTCTTTTAAATATATCTATACATATTAATAAAATTGGAGTGTCTGTTTGTAATATTGAAATAATCGCTTTTTTACTACATGCATATGAATACACACCAAAACAACATTTTTTTTCAATTTTTGTCTGTTTGTTTGTATGTCTGTTTGTTCCGGCTAATCTCTGGAACGGCTGGATCGATTTTGACGAGACTTTCACTGATAGGTAGCTGATGGTATAAGGAGTAACTTAGGCTACTACTACTTTTTTTAGACCAGCTTCGCCCCGTGGCGTCAACCGCGGTAGTACAATAACCGTGGGTAACAACCCGGGACTCCGCTACCAATAATAAAATGTAATGTTTCCGGGCGGGTCGCTAGTTTTACTCTAAAAGACACGCGACCGAGAGTGTGATTTTCTATCTAAAATCTTACTTAACACCTCATGCCGTGCGCAAATTCAGAAGATTAATAAACAACTCTTTGAAGATGCCTTTTTTAATCGGTAATACGTCCGGCGTATCGTATGATGCGTTAAAAATACGAATGCATTTCAATAAATACGTATGCAAGACGCGTTAACCAATGACTCTATGAATATAAGGAATCTTGTTTTGCAATTATTGGTGGTAAGGTTATCTATATATTAATACGTGAAGCAAAAACTTTGTATCCCTTTTTACGAAAATTGCGCGGACGGAGGAGTATGAAATTTTACACACATATAGAGAATATAGAGAAGAAGTGCACAATGCTAATATTTTTTGGAAATAATGCATAACAGATACATTAAATCAATAAAGAAAACATTACACACACTACATACCATGTATTTGACGCACACACGCATGCATACTATTTATTGTCAAAACTTTTGTTCTTGACGTCTGTGGTCAAATTGAGAATAGATTAAATATTGTTTGTCTTTATTAATATTTTTTCTATAGTGTGGTCTTGGCGAAATTTGTGATTATAGAAGTATAAAATACAAACATAATAGTGTACAAACTTACAATTCCAATTAATTATAGTCGAATTCCGACTACTGCGGGACCTCTAGTTATTCTAAATACGCATATCTATTCTTACCCATTTCTCCTAGGAGTCGTACGTTGGTTGGTGTTTGACACGCAGGAAAATTTACAATAAAATTAAAATTTTGAGATCCTAAATAAACCACCTAACACCGCGTGCCTCTAAATTAATTCGCGTGTTGGCGATGTCTTTGTTATTATTCGAGATATATTGTCACGTTCTATCAATGTGATGACGCACTCAATTGAATCAACTCGATTGCGAGCTTGTCTCCCAATGTTAGCCAATTTAAAAAGATGAGCTACAAGCACCAAAAGAATTATCGCGACAGCGATTTCTAAAGGCATCCTCGAAACTCTAAACTAAATTAAAAAGGATAGTTTCAAAAACTAAAAAACTGGCCGTACTCGCCCGCTTCGCTGGGCATTTAAAATTAACATTATTATTTATTTTCATTATTATTATTAGGGAGTCCAACACTCATATAAATATTAGCCTATCCATTAAGTAAATGTATTTTTTACATAGATACCAAGTTTCAAGTCAATCGGATGCATGGTTCAGTAGTTATAACGGAACATTCGTAAAGATCACTGTAGACTTATGTATCTATACTAATATATAGTATAGATACAATTAAGTATAAAATAAATCTATTGTAGAAAAAGCGTTGGGTGTATGGTGTCAATAATTATCAATATTTTATTGACAGATATGTGTAGGATTATCATTTTGATAATACCTTAAAAAAGCACGCTACAGTTTTTTTACAATAAATTTATTTTCTATTCTTTAGTTGGGTTTTCTATAAAAGCTGTTCTTAGTTTATCAAACTAATATTTATTAAATATGGTGTTACAATTACATATGAACATGTCAATAATAAGCTATTAATTTGTACAGCGCTTGAATTAGGCTTGGTTAATATTGTGGAAGAGCTAAACAAACGAAGGAAGACTAAAATTGGGCGTTAGTCTCAACAAAAAATCGCTAATCCTGTATCCCAGTAAGGATAATGGGTCTGACTGTTTAAAATACTGAATTATCATTGCGAAATTTCTAGTTAATCCGACGTTTTGAAGGGGTTCAAAATCATGTTTAAAGTTTCCGTCACCTACATAAATTACATGCGTATGAAGCTAATAAAAGCGTGTTAAAAATCATTAATGATCTAACTTACATTTATTATCCACGATAATAATTAAATTTAAGCACCAACGCGGAAAAACATCACTGAATTAACTTTTATATTATATAATAACGACCTCACTTGTACAAAGATAAGCTACGAATAAGATCAAGCGATGGACAGCGGAACGTGTCAAGGATGCAATGATAAAATAATGGATAAATTGAGTTAATATTACGTTTAAATAGTCATGATTGCGATTGTCGATTGTTTTTACGCGTAACAATATGGAGTTTTGCGTCTAATCAAATTGACATGGCAACAGTGAATCGCTTTTGATCAGACTAAATTTTATCGGTTTCCATTTATTTGAATGCGCGTCGTATAGTCTATTTATTAGTCACACAGCATGTAGGACAAAGTTTGGTTTAGTCATCCAAAGCAAAAAGAAAATGTCTGCGGCTCGGACGCGATGGAAGTGAGAGCAACAAAAGTATTCTATCTTGTTCTCTCACAGACTCAATGCTGTAGATGTGTGTGTGTTTCTCGTTTTAGTCTAATCTCTTTGCCAGTTAAATTAGAGAAGTGACCAATTAGAATACTAAATACAAGCAGTGCGATTATGGAATTCTCTCCCTCAACCTATTCGTGCTAGTTCCTCTCTAGAAGTTTTTAAGAGTCAAATGAAGAAACATTTCCTGTTACTTTAATCGTATTTAAGTTATTGTTTTATGTATTTTTATTTATATGTATTTTTCATTTAATATTAGATTATTTTTTTAAAGCTTAGTTTAAAAATCATACTTTAATAGCTCTTATATTGTACACTATTCCCCTCTTATACATCGTATTTCTCTCTGCTAATGGTTTGCTGGAAGAAAACTCATGAATAAGTTAAGCTCGCCTTTGTACATAATATTTAGACATTCTTTAAATCTGTTTTGATTGTATTTTCTTTTTGTGTACAATAAGTATAAATAAATAAAATAAAAAAATACGGAAACTGTAATGTCTGTAGTTTAGGCACGTTATTCCTTCCCCGTGCAAGTCGCGGGGGTTAAGTACGTGTTTCACTAAAAATACCAGAACCTGCCAGCGGGATTTGGACGCTGGAAAATTAGCTTCGTTCGATACAAACACACGGGGCGTGTTGTCGGACGCTTTAGTCCCTAAACGGCTTCTTATCCAAAGCATTCAGCACGTCAGGAGCTCCATCGTGTTTTATTTATCAGGTGTCTACCATGCCCAGCGGCGGGTATCAAGTCGGGTCTTCGAGACGGAAAGCCCATTGACGGCGACATGAGACCGAACTGCCCATGCCGATCTTGCTGCTGCGGAAAACCGCCTGTTGTTAAGCCGGTTAGAATTTTTTCGGGATTCATTACGAAAAAGCTATTTTAAAATGAAGGTAGGGAATAAATAGTAATAGTTTTTTTCGGGATAACGCAATAGCTACCTACATCTGTGACCCGTTTAGTAAAACCCTTAAGTCACGTTTGGCAGAGTCCTGAGATTTTTATCTATAGATAGCCCATACTCGTCTTGTTTGTCAAGTCGTCAGTGAATTTCGCTACTTTACGCACGAAATAATTAGTTTCTGTAAGATATTTTACATTTGGAATGTGTGTTTCCCTGAAAATTTTCGTTCACCGTATCAACCAAAGACCCATTTTTAAAAACACAGCAATTTCTTTAAATTAAAATATCTAATTTGCTTTAATATGTATATGCAAAAATTAAAATTTACTGCAAATAGCTTTAATTGTCGTATTCTGTATTAGAAAGTATGATTGATGTAAAATGATTTGAAATGATCATTGCATTATCAAAATAAGAAAATATTGAAATGCCCACAATCTTATTTATTTATTTATAACTTCATATAATAGAAAGTATATTCTCTAACAGTCTACCTAAGGGGAGTGCAGAGAGGAATCTTGGTAGGTGTAGTGTGAAGGGGATATTACTTAAACATATGTGTATATATAACATAAATAATATTTATAGATACAAATACTCGTACTTAAATAACTAAATATACATAAATATATACATATACATATCATAAATATATACATATAAAAACATTTATAAACAATTATTATCAATTAGACGACTCTGCTAACTCTCTGAGAAACAGTTCTCGAACCTTCGTCTTAAACGCTTCACGTGATTTTAACGACAAATGAATAATATAACAATGTAGCATTTTTAGTTCTTTGATAGCTTTTTTCGTCGTCCACTTTTAGTGTTATAAGCAACCAAAAATCCCAGAGTCATACGCGCCGAGACGATGCTACATAAAACCTTCAGCCCCCGTAGAGGGATGCACGACTTACAAGCTGTCATACCTACCTGTCGACGGATGCAAAAACCTACGTGGAGAAGTAAAGAAACCTTCGCCCAACATTGTACCGAGCTGCGAACCTATGGAAGGGTGTACCGTTCAAAAGGTTATTATTGATTTATTTGTAACTCAATTGTAACTTAATCTTCGACATATTAATTTCTTGCCTCAGAAAACAAAAGATCAGTCTGTTATTTAAATTTTAAAGGAAAAAGAACTTTTTCACTCGTTTCACTCAGGTCAAAAAACTATATTGATACTCAAATCCAGTAGGAAAAGCCCTCATGGACTGCCTTTATGTGCAATTGTGATTTCGACCTCAAATGTCAAGGTGGTTAACGGCATTCTGGCTGTGATGTCCTCAGACTCCAGTGACCACTCAGTTTTCTAATTAGGATTGATGTAAGATGAGTCTATTTTAGAATTCACCATAAAAAAAAATTGTTGCTTGGAAGGGTGGACGAGCCTCACAGCCCACCTGGTGTTAATTGGTTACTGGAGCCCATAGACATCTACAACGTAAATGCGCCACCCACCTTGAGATATAAGTTCTAAGGTCTCAGTATAGTTACAACGGCTGCCCCACCCTTCAAACCGAAACTCATTACTGCTTCACGGCAGAGACAGGCAGGATGGTGGTACCTACCCGTGCGGACTCACAAGATGTTCTACCACCATTGCAATCACCAATTTAAAACCAATTTTATTTTAGTTGTCGTACCTACCGAACCCGGTGTGCGTGACGCAGTCGATCCGGCCCTGCCACCACGACATGTGGGGTCAGGGTCCCATGCAGAACATCACCACGCAACGGCACGACTACGTGCCCAAGCCGAGTATACTTAGAGAGAGCTTTAAGCCAGCACCGAAATTTCACTGCGTCGACCAACCATTTGAAAGTAAGTTGTTTTTAGCGATTTTTTTAATTACGCAGATGGGTAAACGAAATCACGCTCCATCTGGTAGAGTTTGGTTAGCCGAGCCCATAGACACAGCGTGGATGCCGTCAACCACATTAGGAAATGTGGTCGAAGACTCAGAGTGATCAATGATCGTCTCACCCTCTCGTCATCTCATCATCTCACCATCGTCTCACTCTCAATCACAACACATCGCTGCTTCGTGGCAGAAATAGCCGAGTGTGGGTGCTTATTCATGCGGACTTCAGTGCGTTCCACTATTTACTTTAATTGTTGTAGAATGTAAATGCAATTTCTAGTTTTAATACCAAGGTTCTGCTCTTTTTCTTTTTCGTTGCCATAATCATATAATTAACATACCTTTATCAACGTATCTCCATAAGCAATGTGTTCTCTGCAGTCCGTCGGAAGAAAATGTTTTCTTATGCATCGTTTGTATTTAATGAATTATGGAAAGGGATTTATTCTACTTCTCAGACCCGCACTAAGGTTTTAAGAATTTCATTTTAAAATTTAGAAGTTAAAGATAGATTAAGGATGTCCGCTGAAAACTAACACAGTATTGAGTAAAGTCCATTTAAAGAACCAAAGAACCACCAAAGGGTTATGTCTGAGATTATATACAATGCGATTCATAACTTCGAAATGGCCGTGAGGTTTCAAAGGGTCAACTTATAACTTGCTATTTTCGTTAATATTCACAATTTTCTATTTCAGTTTGTGATATTTATAAAAAAGTAGAAACTCTTTTTTTGGAATTACTACTAAGGTCTTGTTAATATTCTTGTCTGTATTAACTGAATGTTCACATATAAATGTAACTTTATTTCAAGTTTTTACATTATTTATAAAGAAAACAGTGGTCATCACAATTATTCCCATCTTTATTGTTAAAGTTATTGTTTGGGATATTTATTGTTATGCAAAATAATATTATATTGTTTAATAACTAACTAAAACTGTTTCTGTTTTTAAATACAAGGTCAAACAATTTTATCTCTCATCAACCGAATGATCATGGTTCTATACTCTTCGTATATACGAGTGTTACTGTGTTACTTATAATATTTGCTATGTGTATGTGCTATAATTCTCATGTTGTATTTGTTATTTTAGTTATGTGTTATTTGTTCTACACACACTTATCACTTTTTATTATTATTCTCATTATCCTCTCGCAGGTCTGCTGGAAGAGATTTCTCAAAGAAATAAGCAGTGCCTTTGTACATAATTTTCCTATTACTCTGTACTGTGTCTTGTTTTCTGTGTGTACATAAATAAATAAATAAAATAAAATAAATAAACTTGCGTTTCAGATCGGACAATAAATAAATTATCTTATTTACCTCCCGAGAAAATTGATATGCCGAAATCGTTTGCGCCCGAGCGTTGCTATGAAAAGCCGGCTGCCAAAATGGACGGGACCACCACCCACAAGATGAGCTATTTGCCTAATCCTGTTTGTTTCGTTTTCTATATTTATCCTATTTATAAACAACTAGCAGACCCGGCCACGCGTTGCTGTGGCTGAGGTTTTTGTTTCTAAATAACACGCGGCCGGCTATGCTAATACCAAAAATTGACAAAGTAAGAACAATTGGATTTTACTGTATTGCATTTACTACGAAATGAATTTCACTTAAACTTTTGCCTCGGCAACACGTGGTGTTTATGCCATTAAATAGTAGCTTATGTGAAACGTTGGTATTTTTAACACAGCGCCATCTATGAGATATTAATGTCAGACAGTATTACAATTGTCTGTAAAAACTGATTTAAGGCGCCATCTGTTTTAGACTTTTGAAAATTATAATTAATAACAAAAATCAACATAAAAAATCATTTTATTGTTAATTAATAAATATTGCGACCATTAATCGAAATAAAAACCATCGTGTCTTTCAAGTGGGATCAAACTGAACACGGTGTGCAAATTTAATTTACAATCTGTTAAGTAGTTTAGGAGTCTATCGCGGACAAACAACGTGACACTTGATTTATATATATTAAGTTTTTTTTTATTGCTTAGATGGATGGACGAGCTCACAGTCCACCTGGTGTTAAGTGGTTACTGGAGCCGATAGATATCTACAACGTGAACGTGGCACCCACCTTGAGATATAAGTTCTGAGGTCTCAGTATAGTTACAACGGCTGCCCCACCCTTCAAACCGAAACGCATTACTGCTTCACAGCAGAAATAGGCAGGGTGGTGGTACCTACCCGTGCGGACTCACAAGATGTCCTACCACCAGTAATTGCGCAAATTATAATTTTGCGGGTTTGATTTTTTTTATAACACGATGTTATTCCTTCACCGTGGAAGTCAATCGTGAACATTTGTTGAGGACGTATTTCTTTAGAAAAAAAATTGGTACCCGCCTGAGATTCGAACACCGGCGCATCGCTTAACATTAATGCACCGGACGTCTTATTCCTTAGGTCACGACGACTTATCGACGTTTAAGATATGTTTATTGCTGTCTCGGATGTGTATATTTCTGGTATTTATACCAAATGATTTTGGGTGCGACAGTGAACCGCAAGATGTGCAACAAAATCATGTACCTAACGCAAACACCTTAAGTATACTTCAGCAGTATACGGCATACTTATTATTGCTTTATATATTTATTTATATTCAGATAATGAAGAAAGAGACAGTACCGTGGGCTTGTAAGGGACAATATGAGAAGCCTTGTCAAAAATTGGACGGAAACACGACATACACAATGAGGTATTGTAGTCTTTAAATCTAATGGAGGGTTCCAGTTCGTCCACCCATATTCGCAAGTCCATAGACGCAAAACTATTTTTTTACTATTTAATTTCGTGTTTTTTTTTTACTGTCGTCAAATTATTTGCGACATTTAGATTACTTTACAATACTCACGATGGTCACGAACGATCACGTAAATGTAATTTTGATTGTAGCTCCTCGCATGCCTTTTTCTACCGAATCTAGCTTTTAATGAGATAAATGAAGAAAGTTTGTTGATATACTTATACGAAGTTTTGTATACCGCCCGGTCACCATCTCGTCCCATCTCGTCGTCATCCCATCTTCAGTGCTAAAAGTAAACGTCTGACTTGAAAAGTACAGAAAAAAATGGCATGGATTCTTTGGCACGCCCAATACAAGCGCAGATGACAAATACCATATTTTTAGCGGTAGGCAGCGGCTTGGCTCTGCCCCTGGCATTGCTGAAGCCCATGGGCGACGGTAACCACTCACCATCAGGTGGGCCGTATGCTCGTCTGTCTACTAGGGCAATAAAAAATAAATAAATAAATTGTCAAAGCAGTAACGCGTTTCGGTCTGTAGTGAGACAGCGGTTACGTAATTGATACTATGAGGTCTTAGTTCAAGATAGATGACGTTGAGGTATTGATGTCTACAGGGCTCCATAAAGAACTTAACACCAGTGACCTCGTCTCCGCGTCTACGAGCAAAAGTCTAGCTAAAACAAAATCAATTACCTGTCTATTTCTGCCTAAGCCTGCCTATTTCAGCTGTGAAGCAGTAACGCCTTTCCAACCTTAGAACTTGTATCTCAAGGTGTGTGCCGGTATTTACGTTGTAGATGTCTATGGGCTCCGGTAACTACTTAACACCAGTTGGGCTGTGACCTCCTTCACCATTTAAGCAATAAAATAAATAAAATAATTGAAGGTTGTTCATGAAAGTTACTTACTACTAATGAGTTTTTTTTTATGATCTAATTTAGTTACTTGGACGCGAAAAGCGACTGTCGTCGACAACCCATCTTACCGACTGCTTGCTCCAACCCTGTCTCCGCTTCGAAGAGATTTGAAACGCAGACTATTTATAAGAACAGGTGACGATAACTGTAACTACACTTGAGACCTTAGAACTTATATCTCAAGGTGGGTGGCGCATTTACGTTGTAGATGTCTATGGGCTCCGGTAACCACTAACACCAGGTGGGCTGTGAGCTCGTCCACCCATACAAGCAATAAAAAAATAATAAAAAAAACGATATAATACGCGTACAAATATCCTTTACGTATAGCTGTTAACCATTTTATCGAAATATACTATCGGATTTTTTTATATAATTTGAGAGAAAATAAATAGATTAACAAATTAATGTAACCTAATTTCTAATTTTCAGTAAGGCGTCGAAAATAATTTTGTACTTTTTGGACAAGTCCGTTTCTAATTATTTTTGAGTGAACTGAGACATTTTTAGTTCACGCTGTTTCTGGTTTTCTTCTGGTACCTATATTAATATATACAAAAAATTAAGTGTTGGTCTTTAATCAACGCATCGCTTGACAACGCCTAAGCCGATTTAGCTATTTACAGGCTTTTATTAGCTGTTTCTGTACGTGCATAACGTAATATTTCAACATAATTTTCACCAAATTCAAAACGATTAACTTACAATAAATGAATAAACTTGTACACGCATCAAGGACCGTTGAAAATACCATAGTTTTTCTTAGTTATTTTGGCTTAATTACGTGAACAAGATCATCAGATAAAAAATATTCTAATCCGGTTTTCTGTCCATTTTAAGCTGTGGCGGTTGCTATCATAATACAAGATAATACACAGATGCCTGAAACTCGCTAACGACATTTTTAAGATAAGCTTGCATATGTCAAAATTCCAAACAACACTTGGATCGTCGGTCTACCGGGCAATTTAATTCGCTCGACGATAAAAAAATCTTCCCTTTATCGTTCACTCCCAAAACTGTGGTAATAGTTTGAATAGGGTCTTTAGCGCAGCTCGCTGAGTTTCTCGCCGGATCTTCTGAGCGGGTCGCGATTCCGATCCGGTAGTAGATTCATCCGCGAAGCAGCTGCTCTTGAGTTATTAGGTCTTCTTCGGAGGCGCTCGGGCAGTTGTTAGCAAATCCCACCCCTCCTGGCTGAGCCTTTGCTCGGGTGAAACTGGAAAGGCCTCCGGGCCACCAATAATCATTCAATCATAAAAAAAAAAACAGGAAGAAAACTCTTGTCTTCTTCTGTCGCCTTCTGTCGGATCGGCTCATTTTAATTGTAATTTCATATTGACATGTCAGCTATTTACCGGCCACGGCAACGATACCGACGCCAGTGAAGCCGTCGCCAAACATCATCGCTTCGACAGCTCAAATGGAAGGGGACACGGTGCAAAAGGTTTATAAATTTATTTTTACAAGAGAGTATATCTGTGTGTGTGTGTCAAATATACATGGTAGTGTGTGTAATGTTTTTGACGTGACAACGTCTTATAATTAGATAGAGGCGGCTGCACGCACGAAAAAACATGTCTCATGCGGCGTTACCTCGCTCTGAGGCGTATTTTCTTATGACGTTCAACTAGCGTCAGTAAGCCGACTTTACAGACAACCGATTTTTTTTTTTGGAGAACTTACCTCTTATAAGTCAATGTCACTGTCAGGCAGTCTAGTTCCAGTGTACATCACATAAAAAATGTAATCTATGTAGATGATTTATACCGGCACTAATATTAACTATATTTGACATCCTTCCTTTAAAATTTACTAATACCCATCAAAATTGAATCTACTGGTGGTAAGACCTCTTGTGAGTCCGCACGGGTAGATACCACCAACCTGCTTAATTCTGCCGTGAAGCAGTTTCGGTTTGAAGGGCGGGGTAGCCGTTGTAACTATACTGAGACCTTAGGACTTATATCTCAAGGTGGGTGGCGCATTTACGTTGTAGATATCTATGGGCTCTAGTAACCACTTAACTTAAAAAAAGAATTTTTGTGTAGCGTGAAGTCTAGTTAATTATTCATGGTTTCAGTTGTCGTACCTACCGAACCCGGTGTGCGTGACGCAGTCGATCCGGCCCTGCCACCACGACATGTGGGGCCAGGGTCCCATGCAGAACATCACCACGCAACGACACGACTACGTGCCCAAGCCGTCTGTACTCCGGGAGTCATTCAAACCGGCTCACAAGTACCACTGCGTCGAACAACCGTTTGAAAGTTAGTTGCAAACGTCTCTTGCGTCTGTCTGTTGTGCGTGGAATTTTCGAGAACAGTGTGCTTAGTGCGAGTTTTTTAACGTTCTCGATAGCGTAAAAGTTAACCAAATTTTGTATGCAGTTGGAACAGCGCCCCTAGCGGCTAACATAGGCAAACGATCCCATTCCAACAACTTTTACGCTACCTATCGAAAACGTTAAAAAACTCGCACTAAGCACACTGTTCCCGACCAGATATAATAAGGTTTTCTTAGTGTTCGACCAATGACGGATACAAGGAGTTTTAGTAAAATAACTCAGTCTCCTTAACTGATTACGTTATTTGATTTGTAGGCCACTGATTATCTCGCCGGATCTTTTCAGTGGGTCGCGATTTCGATCCGGTGTTTGATTCTGCGAAGCACAGCTCTTGCTAGGGCTAGTGTTAGCAAATTCTCTCAGATTGAGCCCGTGAGCTCACCTACCGAGAGCGTAGTTGAAAAAGCCCTTTTGGCTACCAGTGAATAGGTAGGGAAAGAATGTAAATTAAGGCAATTTTTTTATAATGCCGCATCTGTGCAAACCAATTGACGCCTGTGTGCTCAGTGCCAGGTTTCTAACGTACTCTATAGCGTAAAAGTGAACTCAAATTTGCACGGAATCGGAACGTCTGCCTACGTTTGTCGCTACGGTCACTGTTCCAACTGCATATAAATTTGAGTTAACTTTTACGCTATCGAGAACGTTAAAAAACTCGCACTAAGCACACTGGTGGTTAGTCGTTTTCCGTTTTCTATATCATCATGGAGGTCACCACCTGAAGAATTGTTTAAATTGTTATCCGTAACTGTGTTATCCCACGATCTGTAATGCACAAATTCTGCGAATTCTGCGCTGCAGAATTGGGACACTGGTATTAACCTGTGCGGGAATATCTATCTATCTTCCTACCAACACGTTTCAAAGCAAAACTGCTCACATTTAATCACTTATTAATTGCGAATCGATCTAGGAACCCATTTATAGCGGCGATATTTGTTATTTTTAGATCGGACCGTGAATCGGATGTCGTTCTTGGACCCGGGACGAGTGCCCCTACCGGAATCGTATGCTCCCGTCAAGTGTTACGAAAAGCCAACAGGTTTGCCATAATATTTTTATTGGTAGGTCAAACGCCCAGCTTTTTATTTGCGAAGTGTGGCCGAAGTTTGCCTGTCATTAGAGCGGGCTCTGAAATCAATGGGCATCTTATCGTGAATGCCGCCTTGCCAACCTTGACATAAATTGAAGTTTGCATTGAAATGACGGGTAATGAAAACGGACATATGGCTGGTTTTGGAATCAAATCTTTTATACCAGTAGTCGGTGACCCGCGCCCCTTCCGTGAATTGGTTAGTTCCGGCACCGGAATATTAACTATTATCTTGCCTTTTAAGAGACTAGTAAACATTTTTGAAACACAAGTGTGCTTAATGCGAGTTTTTTAACTTTTCGTTCGTGTAAAAGTTTACTCAAATTTGTATGGAGTCGAAACGTTTTCCGCTAGGAACACTGTTCCAACTGCATACAAATTTGAGTTAACTTTTACGCTATCGAGAACGTTAAATAACTCACACTAAACACAAAGGCAATAATGTTAAAAAAATGGCCCTTTGAATAAATTTTAATTGTGTGTCACTATATAGTATAAAACAAAGTGGCTTTCTCTGTCCCTATATCCCTATGTATGCTTAAATCTTTAAAACTATGCAACGGATTTTGATGCGGTTTTTTTTAGTAGATAGTGATTGAAGACGAAGGTTTATATGTATAATAACATCCATTAAATAGTGGAGAAATCAATAATAAATTACAGTTGCTGAAGCGAAGCGAGGGCGGGTCGCTAGTTATCTATATTTGGTTCTTTTTGTTGACAAGGTTGCCAACCATTGGCTTATACCCATCGAGAAATCTCGATACGTGTTAATTTATAAATGATATTAATTTTACAGCCAAAATGGAGAGCGACACGATACATAAGATGTCCTTCCAGCCTGTATGTGTTCCGACGCCTCAACGACCTCCGTGGGCTTGCAAGGGACAATACGAAAAACCGTGTCAAAAGGTGATCAACTGAATTAGATAACTACATGACTATTTCGTCTAAATAGATGAAGGCTTAGATTTTTAGTGCCAAGATTGGTGGACAAATGGGGTTTATAGGTCATCGGAGCCCATTGAAGAATTCGAATCCCGCAAACAGGCACCAATTTTTCTAATGAAGTACGTACTTAACTAATGTTCACGATTGACTTCCAAGGTGAAGGTTTTTTTTTATAGCTTAGATGGGTGGACGAGCTCACAGCCCACTTGGTGTTAAATGGTTAGTGGAGCCCATATACATCTACAACGTAAATGCGCCACCCACATTGAGATATAAGTTCTAAGGTCTCAGTATAGTTACAACGGCTGCCCCGCCCTTCAAGCCGAAACGCATTACTGCTTCACGGCAGAAATAACATTTTGTAATAAACATCCAAGCCCGTAAAAAGTATAATTTGCGTGAATCTCTTCGATTATGACGCAGAGTTCGACTTAAGAATTAGCCCATAGACACAGCCCGCTGCGTTTGTCGTCGGATCTTCTCAGTGGGCCGCTATTTAGATGCAGTGGTAGATTTTACGAAGCACTACTCTTGCTATGGCCAGTGTTAGCAAATTCACTACATTCAACTACCGAACTGTGAGTAGCTGGAATGTCCCCTTAGGTTAAAAGCGAATAGATAAGCTAATATTGCAATGAGCAATGTCTTAATTCGGGTGAGGGGATTCACACCGTGATGTCTGGATTTTACTAGCCAAATTCACATTGAATCGCTATATAATTCAAATGATATTACAATGAATAATGTCTTAATTCGGGTGAGGGGATTCACGCCGTGATGTCTGGATTTTACCAGCCAAATTCACATTGAATTCCTATATAATTGAAAATGATTTTGTCAACGTTTCCTACAGTTGGAGGGGACTACGATATACCGGTCCTCGTTCTTGCCTCCCGGCGAGGATTGCACCGAGTACATGGATCCCTGCGCTTATGGCGACTGCAAACGTAATCTGTTTTTAAATTATTTTTAATGGAATGAAGGTAGTTTCTGAATCTGATGTTTAACGTCTTTAATAAGTTGATAGCCTTTATATGTATAGTCATTTCAAATTATTTTTCTGTGTTGTAGCATTGTTTTTTTTTAAGTGACCTTTATATATGGTACTTTTTTGAAAAATCTTATAGCTGTCTCTGAAATATATGAAAATAAGCTCAAGAAATAAGCACTAAAAAGTTTATATATGTATTTCATAAACGAGTTTTAAAAGTCCTCTGTTAACAGTTATTCCCCTGACATTTGACGACGGTAATTATGAGCAATGGCCTGCCGACGCCAATCGTTCCTAAAGCGATTACACTAAAACCCCAAAGGAAATACGTATTTTATCGCAAGTAAATAGAATTGAAAATTGGCTGAAGCGCGATTTCGAGGGTCCACTTGATATATTCACGTTTTAGTTTGAGAAGCTGTGAATTTGGACACTATATTCTTTGATCGTGTACCGCCTTCTGCTTGTTGTACAATAATAATAATCATCATCAGACTATATCAGCCCACCGATGGACATAGGCCTCTTAAATTGCACACCACTGAGCACGCACGATCCTTGTCTCATCTAATAAACTCTATTATATGGTGTTTTCGAAACTAATATATACTCTACTATACTACTATACTATATATAATATCAAATCAAATCAAATCAAATCAAATCAAATCAAAAAA